ATCGCTAAAAAATCCCCAAAAAATCGCTAAAAAATCCCCAAAAAAATCGCTAAAAAATCGCTAAAAAATCCCCAAAAAATCGCTAAAAAATCCCCCAAAAAAAAGCTAAAAAATCGCTAAAAAATCCCCAAAAAATCGCTAAAAAATTCTTAAAAAATCGCCAAAAAATCCCAAAAAAATCGCTAAAAATCCCCAAAAAATCCCAAATAAATCCCCAAAAAATCCCAAAAAATTTGCTAAAAAATCCCAATAAAATCCCCAAAAAAATCCCAAATAAATCCCCAAAAACCCCAAATAAAGGGGACTGAAGCCCCGTACCCACCTCGCCGAGTGCCAGGCTCCAGAGGCAGTGCTGCCAGCCGCCGTCGGCGCCGGGCGATGCCAGGCAGGCGCGGCACGAGCGCTGCAGGTGGCACGGCAGCGGGCACGGCCAAAACCTCCCCAAAAACCCCCAAAAATCCCCAAAAATCCCAAATAAAAGCGACACAAGCCCCGTACCCACCTCGCCGAGTGCCAGGCTCCACAGGCAGTGCTGCCAGCCGCCGTCGGCGCCGGGCGATGCCAGGCAGGCGTGGCACGAGCGCTGCAGGTGGCACGGCAGCGGGCACGGCCAAAACCTCCCCAAAAACCCCCAAAAAATCGCTAAAAATCCCCAAAAATCCCAAATAAAAGGTAAAGGACGCCCCGTACCCACCTCGCCGAGTGCCAGGCTCCAGAGGCAGTGCTGCCAGCCGCCGTCGGCGCCGGGCGATGCCAGGCAGGCGTGGCACGAGCGCTGCAGGTGGCACGGCAGCGGGCACGGCAGCGGCGGCGCCGACTCCACCGGCATCGGCGACACGTTCAGCAGCGAGTGGCTGAAGCACGTCCAGTCGTAGGCCGGCTGCACGCTCAGGATGCGCCGCGTCTCGCCTGGCACGGGTGGGCACCGGTGGGCACGGGTGGGCACCGGTGGGCACTGACAGGTAAGGGACTCAGGGAACCCTCCCAGTTTGGCCTCAGTGGTTTGTACTGGTTTATACTGGTGCCAGTTCATCCCAGCCCCACGCTCAGGATGGGCCGGGACTCACCTGGCACAGGTGGGCACGGGTGGGCACGGGTGGGCACGGGTGGGCATTCATAGATAAGGGAGTCAGGGAACCCTCCCAGTTTGGCTTCAGTGGTTTGTACTGGTTTGTACTGGTCCCAGTTCATCCCAGCCCCACGCTCAGGATGCGCCGCATCTCGCCTGGCACGGGTGGGCACCGGTGGGCACCGGTGGGCACGGGTGGGCACGGGTGGGCATTCATAGATAAGGGAGTCAGAGAACCCTCCCAGTTTGGCCTCACTGGTCTGTACTGGTCTGTACTGGTGCCAGTTCATCCCAGCCCCACGCTCAGGATGCGCCGCGTCTCGCCTGGCACGGGTGGGCACCGGTGGGCACGGGTGGGCACGGGTGGGCACTGACAGGTAAGGGACTCAGGGAACCCTCCCAGTTTGGCTTCAGTGGTTTGTACTGGTTTGTACTGGTCCCAGTTCATCCCAGCCCCACGCTCAGAATGCGCCGCGTCTCACCTGGCACGGGTGGGCACCGGTGGGCACGGGTGGGCACGGGTGGGCACTCACACATAAGGGAGTCAGGGAACCCTCCCAGTTTGGCTTCAGTGGTTTGTACTGGTTTATACTGGTGCCAGTTCATCCCAGCCCCACACTCAGGATGGGCCGGGACTCACCTGGCACAGGTGGGCACGGGTGGGCACGGGTGGGCACGGGTGGGCATTCATAGATAAGGGACTCAGGGAACCCTCCCAGTTTGGCCTCACTGGTCTGTACTGGTTTTTACTGGTCTGTACTGGTTCTTACTGGTCCCTAAAGCAATGCTCATGATGGGCCGAGTTTCACCTGGACCCAAAATTCCCCAAAAATCCCCGAATTTTTTTGGGAATCCCTCACCTGTCCTCTTGAACTGCCGGCTCCATTCCTGAAAACTCCCCAAAATCCCAAAAATCCATCCCAAAATCCCCAAAACTCCCCAAATCCACCCCAAACTTCCTAAAACTGCCCAAAAAAATCCCCAAAAATCCGCAAAAAATCCCCAAAAATCCCCAAAATTCCACGAAATTTTTAGGAATCCCTCACCTGTCCTCTTGAACTGCCGTGTCCACTCCTGAAACCTCCTGACACCATCCCAAAATCCCCAAAAATCTCCAAAAAACGCCCCAAAATATGCAATAAATCCCTAAAAAATCCCCAAAAAACCCCAAAAATCCCCAAAAATTCCCCAAAACTCCCGGAATTTTTTGGGGATCGCTCACCTGTCCTCTTGAACTGCCGTGTCCACATGCACCTGCCGGCGCGGGCGCACCGGGGGCAGTCGGGGGCGCCCCAAAACCATCCCAAACCTCCCGAAATCCACCCCAAACTTCCTGATATCCCCAAAAAACCCCAAAAGATCCTCAAAAAAACCCAAAA